CCCCCCCAATGCTAAGAGCCAAATCCACTGTATTCTTTCCTGAGAGGTTTAAACGTCACCATGCTCGTGACCAAAGCCATTTGCTATCCTATCATCATCATTCAGTGCAAAAATTTCTTCACCAGGAACCGAACTAGACTTCACGCTCAATGACACATACAGCAGATCATAAATCTTGGCCTTCCAAGCTCCAACCGACTCAGCTCTCTCCTGCCGTCTCCAATTCAAATGTGGGACAAGCTCAGCTTGAGTAACATCAATTCCTGGTCTGTACATATTGGTTTGAGGCATGAAAGCCACTTCACGGGCAACTTGAGCTTCTGATGGATGAACGCCAGCTCTCTCCAAAGCATTGTGAATTCTTTCTTCTTATGGGAGAGAACTATCGAAGAAGCGGGAGGAAAAGATCTATTTCCACCTTCCCAAAAATAGCCTTCTCCAAGGAAGAGAGAAGATCGATCAAACCGTCGGATACGGAAGGCTCATTTCTGCATGGAGATCATAACCCAGTTCCCATCTCCTGTCTGATGGAGCAATCCTGCCAATAAATGGTGTTACCGAGCTCTCAAAATGGAAGGTTATCTCCATGTAAAAGTCACGAATCCAAGCCACAGAGACCACAATCCTAGGAAGCCTCACCGCAAGGTGCAAAGGAGTTTCCCTCCCTGGAAAATCCCGCCTATCAATTACTGCACAAACAGCATCGGCATCCAAAGATTCAGCCTCTGTATTTTGAAAACGCTATAATGGAAGACAATATCCAATCCCCCACGTTATCAAGCATAACATACCACCAAAACGATCCAGTGAACGTTCAAGGAGCTGAGAATTTTTACTCCACTTTTCTTCTAAAAACCAATACAAATGGAGTCACAGAATAATAAAATAATAATTCATCAAGCGAGACATTTAGGATTCTAGCAGAGTTTCTCCAAGAAAGAAAAGATAATTAGAGATCAATTTTGGTACAAATTGCAATCCGCATACAGAGGGTTCACAATTATAACGAGAAAATGGAGTCACAATATTAAATAAACCACTCAACAAATTATTCCCCTGGTTCAGACGATATAGAATTCAGAAATACTTGGTTAATCTCAAGCTATTCGCTGCCCCTTGGAGAACCATGACTTTCATCATCATCGACAGGGCTTCCCCTGTCCCTTGGGCTAACGCTGTGACTGCGATCATTTTTTTGAACGGGACTCCTCTCCTCAAAATCATCCTCAGGGCTCCTGTTCCTTCCATTTGGACTCCTGCTATAATCTGATCCATTGGAAGGCCTACCATCTCTTGGCGATGGTGTACCTCCCTTTCTCGGGCTTTGCTCCTCAGCCTTTGGGCTGCGAATCCTTCCTTCAGATGGAGATGGCGAGGCCCTGGGCCGCCTCCTTGACCCTCCCTCCCCACGTTCGATACTGCGATCCCTCCTTGAGGGTGGTGATCTGGATCGGCTGCAAAGAATCATAGAAAACAGCAAGTGTTATTTTGTATACACAGCAAACCGAAAAAGAAATATTCAATGATGTTATTAACATTTTATACGGGCACATCTTGCACTCTTTTGGGGCATGAGTGACACTCAAAAATTCATCCTCTAATATAATACAATCTCACTTGTGGAGTTCATATAATTTTTCCAACAGTATGTTGGGCCTCTCGCACAGATGTTACAATAAGCCCCTAACTGTTAGGTGGGGATTAAAATTATATTTTTAGTAGATTTTGATAAAAATTTATGGAATCTGTGATTGAAAGTTGTGAATCCCATAAAATATGTGGTTAAAATTAGTTGTCGACTTTGATATAGAATAAAATATGGATTTTAATTTCAACCAAACAGGTTCTAAATAACGATTTCCCCAATTTTATACTCCAAAAATTTACAAAATGTGGTCTCCCACATCATTTGTTCTGTCAAGGACATGTCGGTCACCACTCAGCCCATCACAAAACTCGTTAAGGAGCAAATCCCACAAGGAAAAGTTTAAGTGATAAAAGAAACAAACTGGTCGCCAGATTCTAGCATTTTGTGAGGACTAAATTAATGGATACTGAAAACAATAGCAACTAAGTATGCAATATTACAAACAGGGAAGTGGAGAGCAGAGTCCAAGAGAATCAGTATCAAAAAAATGTTCAATACACAGAAGAGAGAGTTTAGGTTGAACCTGCGAATAGGACTCCTGCTATAACCACGGCTCCGACTTCGACTTCTACCACGACGAGGAGATGGTGAGCGGGAGTAACTCCGTCCACGTGCGCTGCAAGAAATGTTTTATAATTCTCACGAACACTGATTATTTATTTATTATTATTATTATTATTTTTTCATATCCATGCAAACTAAAACCTAGGGAGGGCCAGAAGGCCCATTTTACGTACCTAACTTTCTTGGGACTGTTTGGACATTTCTTTTCTATATGACCTCGTTCCCCACAGTGGTAACACTTGTTCTTCCAGTCACCAGCCTTGCAATCTCGAGCCCAATGTCCCTCAATTCCACAATTGAAGCAGCGCCCAGTTCCTGGTGCAGGCCCTCTTCCAAGATATTCCCGCGATCCACCTGGACCACGTGGTACCTAAATTTCAAGCTAATCCTATTTAGTTGTACATCATAAGCCCGCAAATATCTCGTCAAAAGACAGGTACCAAAAAAAATTATTTCAGTAATTTAACAATCGCAAAATCCATAACCAAAACACATAATGCATAAGAACATATATACAGCAGACCAAGAAAAATACCAGTTAATTTCAAAGGTTTGTATAAAAAAACAATCCAAAGTACAAAAAGCTAGTAATTAACAAAATTAGTACTATTGCATATTTGGAATATTTCAATGATTAGATGCGATCAGAGCAAATTGTGGTCCCAGAACAACTATTTGTAAAACCATGTTGCTACTCCAAAAAACACTGAATGAATAAGTGATAAAATAACTTCCAGAACCTAAGCAACAACTCCTGTGACTCCATCAGTTTTTAATACATCAGATATCCCGCCTAGTGATATGTGAAAACCTTGGCAAATCCTAGAAGTAATTCAAAAGGATTCATAAAAAAAGGGTAAGCATCATTTAAAAATTACAGTGTTTAAATACTAAAAAAGAACATCAAGAACGACAAATGAACAACTCTAATGCAACTTACCCCCTTTGCAAATTCAACTATAACACGACTTCCATCGACATCCCGTCCATCTAAGGCATATCTTGCATCATCAGCATCGCGAGGATCGCTAAAATCCTAGGTGAAAAAGCAAAAGGAAAGTAAAAAAGACGATGGCACCCATAGAGCACATGGACAAATTGCTATTATGTAAAAGAATTAGAGCATAACTGCATACCACAAATGCATAATCGCGCTTCATATCCACATCACGTACTCTGCGTAAATGGGTGGCAGAAACAACAAGGCCATCAAGGCATTAGAACTGATGGCTTCATACTTTTCCCTCAAAGATGAATTAAACACCAGTTTGTTGGAATTTCCATCAAAAAAACACGCAATAACACTATCATAAGAATTGCCAAAGCCCCCTAAATACTGCACGAATATTGACCAAATCCACCAAGGGGAACACCTCTCACCAGACCTCCAGGTTGGGCAAAGAGCCCAGAAACCTTCAGAAACATTATTCAAGTTAAAATCACCAAGACACGGGGACAGTTTCTCTCAAAATACTCATTTTAAGTAGAAAAAGTAAATCAATGGCAGACGAAAAGGACTTTGCAACAGTTCTTGTTCCCGGTGAGATGCCTTCATGCGGACTCGTCACAGAAATGGCCACTGCCAACTACACTAAGCAAATGGGTGTAGAATCGCATAGGAATCAAGAGAACGAAGAAAACAAACAGAAAACACAAAGTACTCAGTCATTAAATGAGATCAAAGATCTCCTAGTAACACAATTACATTTCGTAAATATTACCCTAGGAAGAAGAACTACCTTCCATATCTGCTAAAGATATCCTCTAGGTCACGTGACCTTGTCCTCGATGACAAATGCCCTACATAGAGTCGTGTTGAATTGCCATGGCGATCATCATAACGAGGCATCTTAAGCTAGCTCCCTAAATTAGATAAGAAAGCATTCTCGTTTCATTACAGACCTTCCAGAAAAGCATGTGTAATTAATCAATCAACTAGACAGCTAATTGAATATTATGTGCACATCAGTGTAATAAAAACCTCTCCACAAGAAAGAGTATTTGAAAATATAATAATAAACCCCGTGAATTAAATACCTAACTGAACTCCTGAAAGTTCAACAAATCAGCATATCTGGTCAACAAGAAAAAATCTTCCCCTAAAAATTAATATGATTCTGTTTCTTTAACACATAGTAGTTCAAATTCGCCCTTTTCATTTACTTCCTAACTCCTAGGAAAATCAAACTTTTTTTGTAGACAGAAAAATAAAAAATTTTAATGATTCAACAAATACTAGTAAAATAAATATGTCAAGACTAAGAAAATAATAAAAATCAGACAAGAAAATATACGTAAAAATGGGCAGATCCAACTCCAGTTATCGACTCAATAGGTTTTTCAAAAGTAATCAATAAGGCTTGTTAATTGAAAATAAAATACGTAAACTTGTTCGCTCCCTACACAAGAACTAAGAAATTAAAATTTCAAGGAAGAAAGAGCATTACAAAGAAGAGATCTGTTCGTAAATTTCAATGATATAAACTCCTCCCGAGACGAGACAAAGTACAAGGTTACGGAATATAAAGATATGCACGGTCTATGAATGTGTAATCTCTCTCTCTCTCACACACACACACACAGAGAGAGAGAGAGAGAGAGAGAGAGAGAGAGAGAGAGAGAGAGAGAGAGAGTACCTGAAGAAAACCCTAGGACTGAAATTGGGGCTAATGACAGTAAAATGGAGGAGGATGAACCATTTATTGGCAAGAATGACATAAAACCCCTCGTTTGGCCCACTTTTCTAGAAATGAAAATTCATGGAATTGTTATAAAATGAGAGAAAAAGAGAATAGAGAAAACTTAATAAACTTTTGTGTGTATTATTGAAAATCAAAGCTTTATATTTATAAGTAAGAATTAGGGATATAATGTTAATAATTTCTAGGGGTACAAATGCCATTCATTAATAAATTTTAATGGACTTTTCATTTATAACACTCCCTCTTGAATGACATATTACAAAATATCTGTCTCGTTAAAATCTTATTTGATAAAAATCCAATGAGAAAAAAAATCAAACGAAGGAAAAAGAGTATAGTTATTTTGAAATATTAAAATTAAATGTTAACATCATTAAAACCTTGATAGGAAAACCCAATGTGACAAAACCTAAGCGAAGGAAAAAGAGTACAACTACTCTCCCTGATGTTGATCACTGAAAATCTTTGAGTCGACGCACTCCAATCTCATGAACTAATTTCTTGAATGTTGGTAGCGCTTTTGTGAATAGATCAGCCACATTGTCACTTGAGCGAATTTGTTGAATATCAATGTCACCATTCTTCTGAAATTCATGTGTGTGAAAGAATTTTGGAGAAATATGCTTCGTCCTGTCGCCTTTGATATAGCCTCCCTTGAATTGTGCGATACAAATTGCATTATCTTCAAACAAAATTGTTGGACTATCTTTTGTTGAAGTCAATCCACATGATGATTGGATATGATGGGTCATATTCCTCAACCATACACATTTTTGCCCTGCTTCATGGATTGCAATAATCTCAGAATGATTTGAATATGTTGCTGTCGAGGATTGCTTCACAGATCTCTATGATATAGCTGTTCCTCCACGTGTAAACACATATCCTCTTTGTGATTTAACTTTATGTGGATCAGAGAGATAACCTGCATCTACATATCCCACTAAAACAGATCCTGACTTTTGAGAATAAAACAGTCTCATATCAATAGTACATTTTAGGTAACGAAAAATATGTTTAACACCATTTCAATGCATTTGAGTTGGTGTAGAGCTATATCTTGCAATGAGATTTACAGAAAAAACTATGTCAAGTCGAGTACAATTTGTAAGATAAGTTAATGCTCCAATTGCACTAACGTATGGTACTTCAGGACCAAGAATCTTTTCTCCATCTTCAAGTGAACGAAATGAATCTTTTTTCACATCAAGTAATCGAACAACCATAGGTGATGGCAATGGATGTGCATTATCCATATAAAAGCGTTTTAAGACTTTTTCTGTATAAGTAGATTGATGAACAAATAACCCCTTTGAAAAATGTTCAATTTGTAATTCAAGACAAAATTTGGTTTTCCCCAAATCTTTCATCTCAAATTCATTTCTCAAATAATCTGTAGTTTTGTTGAGCTCTTCAGAAGTTCCAATTAAATTTAAATCATCAACATAAACTGCCACAATTACAAATCCAATATTTGTTTTCTTTATGGAAATATATGGGCAGATATCGTCATTTTTATAACCCTCTTTCAACAAATATTCGCTAAGGCGATTATACCACATGCGTCCGGATTGTTTCAATCCATATAATAATTTTTGCAATTTAATTGAGAAATAGTTCTCGGACATGTATCATTTATTCCTGGCATTTTAAATCCTTCAGGGACTTTCATATATATGTCACTGTCAAATGAACCATATAAGTAGGCAGTTACTACATCCATAAGGCGCATATCGAGCCCTTATGACACGATCAAACTAATTAAGAACCTAAGTGATGGTATCCATTACAGGAGAATATGTTTCCTCATAATCAATTCCCGGTCTTTGGGAGAAACCTTGAGCCACTAGTCGGACTTTGTATCTTGTAATTTCATTATTCTCATTTCTCTTTCGTACAAAAACTCATTTGTATCCAACACGGATTACATTTTCAGGTGTTCGAACTACTAGTCCAAACATTTTTCGTTTCTCCAAAGAATTCAATTCTGCCTGTATGGCTTCTTTCCATTTTGGCCAATCATTTCTATTTCGACATTCATTACCAGATTGTGGTTCATGGTCCTCATTTTGCATAATATCAAGAGCTATGTTAAAGGCGAAAATATTGTCTATAACAATATTATTTCGTTCCCATAATTTATGAGATATCATATAATTTATTGAGATCTCATTATTTTCGGACACCTCTAGTTCTTCAGAAATCGTACATTTAATATTTGATTGATCAATCTTTTCTAATGTAATTTCTTCTGAAATTTTTGATTGGTTTTTCTTCTGTACTCTTCTTTTTCGAGGTACAGAGTCTTTTGAACCAACTGGTCGATCACGCTTCTGGCGTATTTGAGATTCATTTGCCACAGCAGATTGTCCTGCAGGGACATTAATTTTTGTTGGAATATTTTCTGTTGGAATATATGACTTTGTCACTTTTCTCGCATCAACAAATACATCAGGTAGTTGAATTGCAACTCTTTACAAATGAATGATTTTTTTCGACCCTCTTGTTCACATTGATTGCCGCGGGATCAAAGTGAGATAGAGTTGTCTCATTCCAAGAAATTCTATCTTGTTTTTTAGGATGTAGTTTTTCTCCTCCCAAAGTTGGAAAAGTCATTTCATCAAAATGACAATCTGCAAAACGTGCAGTAAATAAGTCACTCTTTAAAGGTTCAAGATATATAATAATAGATGGTGAATCAAAACCCACATAAATCACAAGTCTTCGTTGGGGACCCATTTTAGTACGTTGTGGGGGGTGAAATAGGAACTTGCACAGCACAATCAAAAACTCGTAGGTGAGAAATATCAAGTTCATGACCAAATGCAAGTTGCAAAGGTGAATATTGATGATAGGCAGTTGGTCTTATATGAACCAATAATGCAACATGTAATATAGCATGACTCCAAACAGAAGTTGGGAGTTTTATTTTCATAAGTAATGGTCTAGCAATAAGTTGTAGACGTTTAATAAACGATTCCGCTAAATCATTTTGCGTATAAACATGTGCAACTGAATGTTCAATTTTAATCCTAATTGACATACAATAATCATCAAATACTTGTGATCTAAATTCACCAGTATTGTTAAGACGAATAGTCTTGATTGAGTAATCGGGGAATTGTGCTCACAATTTTATGATTTGAGCAAGTAATCTAGCAAATGCTACATTCCTAATTGAAAGTAGGCAAACATGTGACCATCTTGTAGAAGAATCAATTAATACCATAAAGTAACGAAATGGTTCACATGGTGGGTGTATTAGCTCACATATATCTCCATATATTCTTTTCAAGAACGTTGGAGATTCAATATTGACCTTTGTAGTTGAAGGTCTAATGACTAACTTGCCTTGCGAACAAGCTGCACATGGATAATCGTTAAATAAAAGAATCTTCTGGTTCTTTAAAAGATGTCTATGTGAGTTGTTTATTATTCGACGCATCATTATGGCTCCTGGATGTCCAAATCGATCATGCTAAAGTATAAAACTTTTTGAATCAACGAACTTCTGGTTCGTAACATTATTTGATTCGACCATTTTTATAAATGTAAAATACATGCCAGACGGGAGTGTATGAAATTTTTCTTTTATCTGCTTCTTGCCAGATACAGAAGAAGTGATGCAAAGATATTCAACATTATTTTCTTGCATCGTCTCAATGTGATAATATCTTTAAAACTAAGCAAATTTCTTTTGGATTTGCTAGAATAAAGTGTATCGTCAATATATAATTTTGTATTATTTGGCAAAATAATACAAGCTCTTCCAGAGCCTTCAACGATATTCGACGCACCCGATATCGTGTTAACATTATTTTCAACTAATATTAAGTCCAAAAAGTATTTTTTGTCTTAAAGAATAGTATGTATAGTTGCACTATCAATTAAGCAGCTGTCTTGACTATCCATCATGAATCTATAAATATAACAAAATAAACAAAATTTTAAAAAAAAACTTGAATTTAAATTTAAAGAAGTAAGCATTACTTAATATCATGAAATAAACAGTGCATAATAGAGTTTTATTATTATTTTTTTGTGCGGAAAAGTAAAAATATATTTCAGACTGAATTTTTTAAACGAAAGAAATACTAGTAAATTAATCTATATCTTCTATCACACTACCTCCAACCAAATGGTCAATATTTTCATTTGGATCGGTA